ATCAACTCGGTGTCATCAAAGTCTTCAAACTTGAGCTCATGCGGGAAACGACTTGGGAGTCCTGGATTGTGCGCGAAGAACTTCTCCATCGGTCTTTGATACCCAGCAAGAATGAAGACCACTTTCCCAGTGAGGTTTTCGACCTCGGCCAGGAGGAAGTCTAGAACCTGAGTTCCACCGAAACTGCTACCGACAAGTTGATACGCTTCATCGATGAAGATGGCACCACCGCCATCTTTCAAAAGAGTCTCGATGGTCTTTTTGCATTCCGAAACACCATCATTTGCGAGCCTGGACCCTGTTGTCTCGATGAATTTGTCGCCGGGAATGATCCCCATGGACGATAGGAACTTTGCATAGAGACGGGCAACAGTGGTTTTTCCGGTACCAGGATTCCCGAGCAATACAGATCCAAATCGATCGCGGCTCAAATCGATGTTCTGTCTGATGGAAACGTCCACTTTCGCTTTGATAGCCAGGAATTTTGTTTTCACTGATTCAAGTCCGATCATGTCGATTAACTTGTCGATCTCCTGGCTTTGAGAATTGAAGAACTTCTTTTGATAGTTCCAGTCCCCTTTAGCCACTGATGTCTTTTTCGGTGGCATTACCTGTCGACTTGTAGGCTGAACACTAGGGCTTTGAGTGACCGTAACACTGGAATCCGAGCTTGCTTCTGTGGTAGTTGGGGGTGTACTTGCGATTGTTCTAGAGCTTAGTCTCCGCTGAGGGGATGCTGGTTGCGAGGGTGGTCGTGGAGGATTCTTCAAATCTTCAATTTCCTGGCGATGTTGCTCAAGAACCCTTGCTCGCTCCGCATCGTCGAATTCATCACGTCGAACACGTTTGAGATGGGAGGCTTCCTCCTGAGCCTCTGCAAGTTGTCGGGCGTACTCATTCTGCTTTCTCTGTCGTTCTCGTTCCAATTCCAGGTCACGTTTACGCCGGCGCTCTTTGACCTGATCTTCTTGGATGCAGAAACGACATGAGCCCTTGGCTTGGGAACAGGACAGAGATAAGGAATGGCCCCGGGGACACTTCCACTTCACCATCTTGGTGCACTTCATTTTTGAATGGTCTGCAAGCTGGTGGCATTTTGATGGACAATCGTGTACTCCGCAACTCAGTTTCACACCGCTAAAGGGAAAGTCAATATAAAATTATCAGAGGACTTTCTGGTGAACTTACCAGGGGGCAGAGCATCCTCCGTCTGGGCATTCTTTATGGAAGTCCTCAACTGTTCGGAGAATGGCAGTTGTCTGAGGATGTTGCTCGCATTGAACGGGCAGTCCATCGTATAGATGTCCCTCCGACTTCAATTGGTCAACGAATGGCTTCCAGTGTTTTCGGCCCTTTCGACTAGAGACAAATGTTTCCGAGTTTCCCACCAGAATGAGGACATTTCGCGCGCGGGAAAGAAGGACGTTGAGGCGCTCTGGGGCTGCCATGAATCCTATATCGCCAGCTTTGTTACTACGAGTGAGCGAAGCAATTACAATTTCACTCTCTTCTCCTTGAAAATTGTCTATTTTGTCACGTTAGACTCTTGTTTGTACCTATACTTTCCTTCCTACTTACCAATTGTAGACAGCTTGATTTGGCGCTTAGAGTGGGAAGCACCAGCCTGCGACAGAAGGCCTGCTTTGACAAGATCATGGGAATCGATGTCGTTTAGTACTGGATCGTTCTGTTTGCTCAGAGTCTGCCTTAGAAGATTGAGCTGGCCCAAATACGGTGTCAACACGACCAACTTGTCTGTTCCATACCCCTGTTGCCCAAGGTACTTCACGATCTTGAGTACGATCTCTGCCTCAAACGCATTTCTCTTGCTTCCTGTCGTGCTCTCATCACTTCGGTCAGAGACCCCGACAAAAATGTCTTCAGGATTTTCATGATGGAAAAAAATGACTCTGTCGCACAGCCCTCGTGGCTGAGGGCGATTCTTGGTCTTCTCATCATCTTCCAGCGCAGGGTAGGTGAGGTTGCGTACAAGACTTGAGATCTCGGGACACATCCTATGCTGCTTGCTCAATGTCGTATGAGGAAACCCAGCATGTATGAGTCTTTCGAAAAGGGAGACGTTTAGGTCATAACCATCTCCTTTCTCGGTGCTCAAGCTGTAACTGTTGATCTTTGGCCGTAGCTGTTGATGATCTCCTATCAAGATCAAATGTTTAGTTTCTGCGGTCATCGCTGTAAGCACATGGGACTCGAGGATCTCGCCCGCTTCTTCAAGAAGCACAATGCCAGGTGAAGCATGTCGGATGTCCTCAGAGTACATTGCCGCGGCTGTAGTGGTGCAGCCAATGATTCGCTTTGATTTCAAAATTTCCCGGTTTCTCGCACCCAGGGTAGCGCTCAGTCGGTTTTGGCATTTGTTGAACAATGCTATTCTGACGCTCAAAGACTCCGCCTGTTCATTCAGCAGAGCTTTCCTCCAAGTCCTGTCTTTCTCCTCGCGTATTTTCTTGTCCAGTTTCCAGATATCGCGGCAATGAGCGGGAAGAAGATTAGCATACATTCCTGCATCTTGGTTCTTTCTCCATCGTGCATAAAGGTAGTTTCTGGATGGTCTTCCACGCTGGGTGACCATAACCATGCCGTCTTCGTCATCTGGTACCGCCAGAGCTGCAAAGTAATCCGGTTCTTCAAACTCCAGATAGTCCAAGATAGACACGTCATTAGCTGTGAGATTCTTGTAGGCTTGGAAAGAATCATTCAAGGTGTCCTTTAGCTCATTTCCGTCCGCTTCGAGCGCATTGATGGTACTCCAGGTGGCGTGGTCCCTCCTGTAGGACGGGTGCTGTTTGAACAATCCCAGAGACTCAGTACGTTGTGATGACTTAGACCCGAGTCTTACAATGTCGGAGGGATCGATTCCAATATCCAGTAAGTCTTCCAAGAACTGGTCCAAGGCATGATTCGTGTAGCACATAACCAAAATCTTGTCTTTGGTACTATCATGCAGGGCCTTTGCGAGAAGGGCACCTATGAATGACTTGCCGGTACCTGGAGGTCATACTGTCAATATAATGTCCTTGATAATCGAAATGAAGGCGTATTAGAGAATTCGTGTGATCTTACCTGGTGGTCCTTGAATAAGACTCACTCTCTGTGTTAGCCCGGCCAACATAGAATCTAGCTGTGAAGAGTCCAGTGTTACTGGCATTGGAGTCTGGAAGGTGCCCTGGACATTACATCCATATTCTTCCTTCAACTTGTTGACCACATTCCAAGGAGCTAGACTTGATTCTTTCACTGGCTGATCTCTTTCGTAAAGGAACAACTCTTCTGTGAGAGGCAGATCAATCCTCTCTTGCAAGCATTTCAAGATTGGCTCGTATGCGAACATTGCCGTTTCAACAATCATGAACTCCACGTTTTGGTAGAGCTTTAGGTAAAGCAGAGACTTTTTAAGCGCCTCTTCACCTGAAACACGCAACATTACCACTGGAGGATTGGATACCAGTGCGTCGATTTCTCTTTCGATTGTAGCAAACGCCACGACTTCTGTATCTCTAACCAGACATCCAAGAGCACGATGCCTAACAAACTGAGGCGTGGACTTTAAGAAATCTCTGCGATGACTTTCCGAGAGATTCTCGAGTCTTTCCAAGCCAAACTTGGCAGTAACACCAATGGTACATGGTCGAAGGCGGTTGTGAGGTCCAGAAGTGCAGCTGATCTGATCAAGAAAGAGATTCCGTAAGTGGAAAGCTGACCGGCGCCCCTTCTTTGTGCCTCTTGCAATTTGAAAGTCATCGCGGAGCTCCGAGAGCATATCCTCTCGTAAAAGGCGAAACTGGTTGTCAATATGGCCCGCAATGCGTTGACCGCTGGGCAGCTGCGCGATGTCTTCAGCACGGCGATAGAACGGTTTCTCCGTACATCCCAACTCATCGGCAGTAGGGAAAATAGCCGTCAAGCGGAAATCAGCAAAATCATTATCATGCCGACCGCCTGCAGTGATCCCGGAGTGCTGGAGGGTGGCTGCAGGTGATCTCATCTCTAGGCGATATCTGATCTTATGGCCTGCATTTCGTATATCGAGCGAGGACGAAGAGAAGAGCGACCCATCGTCTAAAACAATCTGAGCATCGGCTCCTATATCCACGCCGCAGGAGGGAGGCAATGAAAGCAACTCCGTCATCAACCAGCATAGAGCCTGGATCGCATGCTCTGCTAGCTTCCGAGTGCGGAACGCCTCCAGAAACGCGCCCCAGAGTGTACGAGGCTCCAAGATGATCAAAAGAAGCTGTTCGAGAAATTGGCCGTTGCAAAGGAGCTTGACTTCGCGGTGGTTCAGGTATTGAATTAACTTCGCGGTGTATACGTTGATGAAGACCGGCGTGAGGTTGAACCTCAGTCCATTTTGCAAGGCGTTTAGAGCGCTTTTGCTTGAAATGATTCGCTGAACAACAATGCCAGGATTATCTTGGTCTAGAACTGCTTCAATAAATCGCTTGAAACCATTCTGATCCTGGACTTCTTGATTTCCATGGAGGACGGCTCCAAAATACTTGGCCAGTCGCTCCGATCGAGAGTTTTTAGACATAACAGCAAATGAGGTTCAAAAAAAAAAAAAAACTCGACTTAACGTATACTTGGAAAATCAATGTTAGCAGAGAAAGGGAATAAATTTGGGGTGTACAAGGACTTTAAGGGTTGATAGCTAAGAAGCAGTTTGGAGTCGCAGAGCACAAGTGACACTAAATATGCAGACTAGCCGTGCCAGACACCCAACAACCGTTCCAAAGCGCCCAATACCAGGTCCCCTGGTGTTGGGCAATTGGTTTCGGGCGCTTGACACGGCTACTAGGGTTATTTACATTGCTGGCTTGTATCTTTGCGATCCAGTTAGGCTACATACTCCCCAGGTGCAAGGTAGGTTTGTCCACTCCGGTTCTCAGCCGTATTTTCACCCGCCACTTGTACATCAACCCCTGTAGATACCTCGCAGGAAAACCAACAAATGCGGGGGTACACGGAACTACACGGAAATGCAGAAGTTCACGGAAACGCAGAACTGCACGGAACAGAAGTTCACGGAAATAGGGGGTTTCAAGACAGGGGTCAATACAATCATAACATTGGAACAAACGGAACGGTACGAAGACTTTTTTTGCCTTGTAATTCCTCTGCATCTACATACTCTTACTGTATTGCGTGACAACTTCTCTCGGTACTACTTCCTGACCCCTAGACTAGTCTAGAACTATGTCTTCGCGAGCAAGGGGAATAGGAAGAGGAAGGGGAGGAGGAAGAGGAAGAGGTAGGAGGCAAATCGTTTCATCCAGGTCTCCTCCGCTGGGAGAGATCCTTGTGACAATCCAGCACAATGAGATCGAAAATCCGGAACATCAAGGTAGTGATATCTCTCAAATCACAAACAGCCAATATCTGACATCCTACAATTGGCTTGGTGGGGACAAGGCTAGGATCATCATTCCAGGTAAGATGATAAAACAGGGCACCGTTCACCGCATGAATGTTAACTGACACATGTATACTAGGTGAACCACCCAAGTGGACACCTCTATCTGACCCGCGCACGCTCCCGGAAGACAATGGTACATATTTCCGTGATCGAAATGCTGCACAATATCCCCCTTACCCTCTCGAGCCAATGGTACAAGCAATCCTGACTGACAAACCCGAGTTCCCTGTGACCGACGTGGACATCATTGCGTGCAACAATACCCTGGGCCAGCTGCTACGTTTTGTACGTGGAGCTGGTAGTCCCTTTAGGATGCTTGTTCAGGTACTCGGTAAGACCGTCTTCTTTATCAGAAGGGAAAACTCGCCCACCGAAATGATCCCCGGTATCCGTGGATATGGACATACTTTCCTGGAAGCATACACCACGTGGAATGATGGTGTGGGCGGATCCACGTCCCACCAACGAGTGGTGAAGTACAAGTTTGCCGACATGGAGTGCTTGATCCGTTTTGTACCGGATGGCTTCTTGCCTGACCTGGTTACGGATACCGAGAAAGCCAAAGAAGAGCCTGTTCCCCATTCCCAGGAAGAAAGTATGAATGCAGAGGAAAGTTTGGCGTCCATCGAAGACATATCACTTTCGGATGCTCTCTCGTACGCTACAGAAATGGCACCTCAGAAGCTTGAGGTTGCAATGCAAGGCCAGCGTATCCCACAGTGTGCAGTCTTTGGCGTGAGGACTCGATCTCGCGCTAAGAGGCGTTGCGATGTTTTGAAGGAAGAATTGCCCCGGTTGTGGCTTACGCAAATTCCCAACTTCATTATCGCCAATCATACAAATGGTCAATTCAAAAACATTCGGATTCGCGACGTACGGGATGCTGTAAAGCAGTGGGAGGAGAGCGAGCAACTGACTTTGCGCAAGTTTGCCAGCTTACTCCAAATGATTGTCGCATTCGCTCGAAGCCTGGAGGATGGAAGACTTGAAATTGAGCGTGAGGAGAGTGTGCAAGTTTTAAATCTGAGAGCACAAAGTGGAGTTGTCAACAGCGTCTTGTCCCCGGCTGTCGCAAGCAAGTGGACCGGCTCTGATGAGGACAGTGGTTTCCACTACCATTCTTCATTCGAAGATTGATCAATTCAATCCAAATCCAATGGGTTTTCAATTATTAAAGGGAAAAAAAGAAGAAAAAAAAATGTATTTTAGTCTTTCTGCTGGAGGAAAGGGAGAGTTGGTAAGGGGTGAGACTTACCACTTTCACAGAGCGTGGGCATTGGCCCGCCCCGCTTGGTTCTTTCTTCTCTTAAGTTAGATGATCAACTGGCCATAGGAATTCCATTCGTGTTTTACGATCTTACATTCTCTCTCTTCCATTAGAGGTTTGTTCCCGTAGTCGGTTAGTCGGTTTCGAGGGTTCCCCTGGAAGACAAAGAGATGTTGTGTTTGTTCTACAACATCGAGATCCGATGCGATAAGATACTATTCTGCCACTGACGGCCGCCTGTCCAACCCTCGCCATCGAGACCCGAAACCACTGGCCAGTCCTGCTGCCTCGGTTTCTCTCTTATCTGCGTCACCAAGGCTTTACTTCCAGCATTCAACCTGAGACCACGACATTACAAACCAGTACAGTCCTTGCTAGCCAAGGGCCCCGCCTCCTGAACGAAACCGACCCCGAAAGGGAATTTTCCTCGTTCGTGCGACGACAGCAAGGTACTTGCTGCATAAACTGGCAAGATGCCCAAATATAAGTCCTTCCAGTCCATATCTTCACAACTGAAAGCTAACTCCCCATGCACTCTTCTGTAGGTTTTGCCTCAAATCCAGGTATAGACGGACCAAGCGGTGTCATAGCCTATTCCGGGCATAATGCGACACGCCCGACTATGGCCACTAAATTCACATCCATCGACCAATTGCTAACCTCCCACTTAAACTAACAGGCGACTACTGTGATGTCTATCTGACGCACGACTCGATGAGCGTGCGCAAGGCGCATAACTCCGGCCGAAACCACCTGAGGAACGTGGTGGAATACTACCAACGTACGTCTGACCGATGGCGCAGCAAGGCAGCCAACCCCAACAGCTGAATGATAGCTAACTATATGAACCCGGTACAGAGATTGGCCAAGAAAAAGCCCAGTCCGTTATCGACTCCATCACCTCCTCCTACGCCGCAGAGGGCCAACAAGCCCCCAACATGATGGCCCCCGGCGCGTTCCCGCCTCCCTTCGGATTCCCGGGTACGACTTGACTATCCCTCCCATGCTCCCCTACAAACCAATCTAGAACACACAAAACTAACCCAATCAGGACAACCGGGCATGCCCCCTCCTCCCTTTGGTATCCCTCCACCAGGCGCCCCCGGTGCTCCAGGCATGCTACCTCGTATGTCCCACCCATTCCCAGTTCCACCCTACATCCCCAGGACGAGAAACCGATCACCGACCTACCCAGAACAAAACCAAGCTAATCAACACCCCCACCCAACAGCCCCAGGAGCCCACGGTCTTCCCTTCCCACCTTTCCCTAACGCTGCCGGAACCCCACCAACAGGCGGCTTCCCACCGCCCCTCCCCAACATGCCCCAGGGCGCAAACCTGCCGATTCCTCCCCCAGGAGGCTTCCCTAACTTCCCCATCCCTCCACCAGGTGCTGCGGGATTCCCGCCTATGCCTGGTCAGCCCGGTATGGGCCCTGGCGGTCCGCAGATTCCTACTGGCCCCCGTGGCTTGGAGGGGTATCCTCCTCCCCCCGGAGGTGGGCCTCCCGGTGGGATGGATCAGCGGTGGTGATTATGATCGCGATCTTAGGGTTGGTTCGTATGTGATTTGTTTCTGATACCTTTTTTTTTTGTGTGTGTGTCGTGGGCATGGCATGGCATGGCATCTCTCATGGTTCTTTTTGCTCTTCACTGTTAGTGTAAAATAGCGGTTTCTTTTTTTTAATATTTCTTTACTTTTCGTACGTTATCCTTCGTACGAGATGGTCTCGTTAGGTTCTGCCTATTTCGACGGGCATGGATGTTGTCAGTTCATGGAATTGAATTCCTACGAGATCCAAAGCCCTAGAGTTGCAAAAAAAAACTCCGACATCCACATATATATATGTGGACATCGCTCTCATATTTACATCAAAAGGCTCCTTCAAAACGCATACTTTTTTACGACCTTCGTATATACCTAAGAAGACATCGAAAAAGACATCTGAAAAGAACATCCAAGATACCGATGTATGAAGTGAGAAATTGAAAATATATTTATCGGTGGCAGACGTACTGCAAAGCCAACAATAAAGAACAGAGAAACCCTCAAGGCCGATCACCATATCCAGAATGCATCAAATAACGCCGAGCGGAAGTAAAGAAAAAAGCAATACACCTCGAGGATTTAGACCGGGAGAGAAATAGATAAAAGAATTGAGGAGAAGAAGCAGGAAGAAGAAAAGGGAAAGGAAGGGATAGATGAGAAAAGCTCACACCATTAAGCAATGGAGTGAATTAAGAAAAGAAGTTTATCTGAAGCGATGATCCTGCAGCTTGTGCAGAAGCAAAAAAAGAAAAGAAACCCGAACCCAGAGGAATGGCGATTATAGACCATCGGTATCCCGCGCTAAAACAAAATCACATATCTTCATCTCGGAAGCGACAAAACAAGAGACCACTGGTATTTTTTAATGGTTCTTTTAATGGTCATAGCCAGCACCCCTTTGCCAAGGACTGGCGCTGTTCTGGGCTCGATATGTTGTCGATAGAGCAGATTGGCCAACAGGAGAAGTGTTATCAAAGCTCCTTCCGGCGGGTGAAGGGGACCGACCGAAATTGTCGTATCCGGGAGGAGGATTGTGGTGACCTAACGCGCCACTGGGGAACAATGGCACAGATGGGTCAACGGGTGACCGAGGCGCTTGGGCAGCAGAGCCGTGCGGTGGGTAGGTTGATTGCGGCGGGTAGGTTGACTCCATTTGACGGCCGACGCTAGCACCGTTTCCACTGGAGATAGAAGCGGTATCATCGTCGAATGGATTGTTGTTGTTGTTATACTGCCCGGGCTTCATATCACCACGCGCTGTAGCACCCAAGGCATCCAACTCAGTAGTGAGTTGGGTTTGGGATTTGATGAATGAACCACGATCGTCGCGCATGGGCTGGTAGCGAGTATCAGGGTTCTTGGACACAACGGCATAAACCGAGGCGATCAGAACCAGGATCAAAAGAACCAAAGAGAACACGGCATTGTAAACGAAGAAGATGACACCCATGATACCGATCATCATTTGGGGAGGGTCGAACACATCCGAGAAAATGAGGAGGAAGATGGAGTTGAGGAAATTGATCACAGCAATAGAGATGTTGAAGACATTAGTCTTCTTATCCATCCACGGACGGAGAACGCAGACACCAACCAGCATGGCTAGCTCAAGGATAACCAAAGCCACTGTCTGAACGACCGGTGCAGGCTGACTCAGACCGATGAACATACCCTTGATCAAGGTATAGATGAGGAACGGAATGACGAAGTAGTATGCTGTTGCTCGGTACTGCACATACAAAAAGCCCCACTTGTTCAGACAGGACGGGTCGGAGTAAAGAATGTATGCTGGGTTCTTGTGCATGGTCACTGAACGCTTTGCCAACCGAACTACCTTCTGAGAGGCCCATCCAAGAGAGATGAGCATAGTAAGTAGCATGACCGCTGCCAAAACAACCTCAGCAGGCGAGTCACGCTGAGTGAACTCCCAGAGGCAAAGAACAGACATTTGGGGTAAACCGATGAGAGTCAGTCGGAACAAGATACCGCGCAGAACAATCTTCCATCCATTGCGGAAGTCATGGAACCGTTCACTCTTCATTTTGCCATTTTTGACAAGTAGCTCAGTAATTCCCTTGAAGGCTGCAACGATGATAACGACAACGCAGGTGAAGACCGCAAAGAAAATTAGGCCAGTGAGGAAAATGTTGGTCTCCTCCATGTTCGCACGGAACCCGACACGATCAATTCCTCGAATGACAAGAAGTTTCTGCCTTGTGCCTGTGCCTGTGCTGGCTCTCTTGGCCATGCCTGTTGCTCGCTTAACTACCATGGGACCCATGGCTCTCTTCAAGAGATTCATTGCTGGGTCAGCAAAGTCACGCTTGCGGCGCTTGAGAACCTCCACAGAAGTATCCCCAAGCTGTGACAGGATTGTCGATGGAGTTCCACCGGTTGACCGCTGATACCAGGTGGCGATCTTCTGGATGAATCCCACGCGGATGATACCCATGCTCCATTGGAAGTTCTGGGTCCAAGACTCCACGATCGGGGGCATATGGACCGAGGTCATGCCGATCATCGCTTGCGACTGCATGAAACCGAAGAGAGAGAGCGCATTTGCCGCGACGTGAGCCGCGGTGTTAGAATGACCTAGCCCGGAGGTAATGGCGGATGCAGCGAGACCTAGTCCGGAGATAACAGCGGTTGTCCACGAGACTCCGGCTTGATTAACGGTCTTGCCGTTAGAAAGCGAGGCCTCGACACAAGCAATCTTTTCTTTAGTGTCGGCTGTCTTGATGACAATCCGTACATTTGCGTCAAGATCAGGCACGGTGTAGGCAATACCAGGAATTTTATCTGAAGTGCCTGTTGGCAGGTCGAGAGAAAGTGGTCCCAAATCCATGGGTCCAGCGGCCATGGGACACATACCCATGCCAATAATAGAACAAGGATTAAGGGTGTTCTTGTATGCCTCGTAGCCATACGCAGTAAGGGTCATCTCCGCAACAACCTTACCCTCGATGTATGAGACGCCATCGAAGCCGACGACAAGAGAGTTGTTTCCCGGATAGAAAACGACGTTGAAATATGTTGCCGTGAAGTTGCTACTTTCCATGCACACGCTGAGTGCATTGGATTCAAGGAGCTGAACCGCGGAGGCTAGCGGCGCCAGAAAGGCGACGAAGCAGGTGAGAAGCGATATTAACCGCATTTTCGGTATCAGGAAGAGGTTGCGAAACACTAGAGGTTTCCTGTGGTAGATCCGGGCGAGGGGAAGATATCTGACGGGTCCCGTGTCAGTGGCACTCCAGAGTACCACGTTGCCAGCCGCCGGATGCGGAAGTTTTCGTACGGCCGAATCGTGTTTGATCGTCGTGGGGCCGAGTTATTTCTGAATGTCTCCTCGGACTGTTACTGTATGTTTGGCGCAAATTGTCGGAGAAAGGTCAGGGTCGAGTCAAGGTGTGGTTTGCCTTTGGGGCATTTGAATATAACCGGAGCGTAGAAGTAGTCGTAAGGGGTTTAATGGAATCGGAAGAAGCCGTATTTGTAGATGAATGAGAGTATGTCTAAGCCTGAATGAGAGTAAGGTCGAGTAAAGCGAAAAGCGAAAAAGCGAAAAAGCGAAATGTCGAGAGTGAGTGGACTGGCGATACACAGTACGGCCGAAAAAGGAGTAAAGGAGTAATAGGCTTGAAACTGGGGAAGAATGTGGTTTATAGTAGACACAAACTGTTCCCTAGAAGAGAAGAAGGGAAAAAAAAAGAGAGACGAGGGAATGAGAGTGAGAGGAAGAATTGTCCACGGGTTGTTCACTCAGGGACAAGTCGACAAGGGTGGGAAAGACATTGCCTGGACTGCCATTCCACTGACAAGGTATGTGGTCATGTATTGTAATAACACAGGGGCGGTTAACTTGGAACCAATAAGATTTCTGTATTTGGTGGTATTGATGTTTAGGTTTGTTCCGTATGGTCACCCATTGGCACCTTCCCCCCTTCAACACTTACAGAATGCCACCTCCAAGGCGAAGCTAGATGATGTTTCACTTGTTTTTCTTCCCTTTATTCGTTTCATTCTCTTCATTCTATCTACTCTATTCTCTTTCTATTGACCAAAGAACAGTTCAAAATCAATCTTCTCTTCTCGTATAGACGCACACTGAAATTGCCGAAAGCGGTTGATGGATGGCGGAATCAGGCGGGTCCATAGCCCTTGGGATTATTATTAGAGAAGACGGATATGCCAATACTGGAACCAAAGGAACTGTTGACCCCAGCTGTGGAGTGTGCCGAATACAGTGGACTGTAAGTGGAACGTACCTAGGTATTATGGTAACTTTGAATATCAACTTAATATTTATACTAACTATACTCCGTACGGGGGAAGGCATATCACATCCAAGTATTCCGTCTGCCTCTAATAATTAATCAAACTGAGATTCCAGACTTTTTAGGTCCACACTTTTAAGTCGTTGCCTACTATGGAGTATGCACGCTCCATTGTACTGAATTTCCTCGGGCGGGGCCCCACCTTAGCTGCCGCTTTTATGAGGCCGCTTCTGGATAATTAGCCAGGGTAAATATCATCCCATGTATATACGGAGTACAACATATGGGCATTTGATCTAGAATATCAGTGGACAATATATTTTAGCATAGCTCTAGCGTTGGCAGTAGCGCTAAAGCCGTGAGGGTATGCCAATGTACTCCGTATACTATTGTGATTTATTGCGTGATAACTATATAGACTCAAAAGACTTTGATATTGAAGAGGGAGGTGGACGATGTCTAATGTTCATCTCAAGGACAAAATTGTTGCAATGCTAGAGAAAGACTTAAACAGGATACAGCCTACAAAATATATAAATATAATTTTGATTCAATGACCAAATGCAGTCTTTCCTACGACATATAAAAAGGACTACCAAAAGACGACTAAATAGACATGCGAAGGCCGCATATGTGGCCGACCATTGTTGCTACAACGCCAATGAGGGGAGCATCTAAAAGGACTACCAAAGAAGACATCATAAGGCTACA